TAGTTTTATCATAATAGTTCCATTTAAACTTGATATCTATCATGAATTTAAAAATTTTATATGCTATCAATGTCAATTACTTGAACATGTACAATCATCTGAAAAAAAAATATATCTGCAAATAATATAATCATTTATTTTACATAACATTAATAATACACTCAAACATATATTTAAAATTATATGTAACATCATTGACAAAAGTCATTTAGTCGAATTTGTTTTGCATTTGATATCTTCAATAAGTTTGAAGTTGGGAATATCATTGACATAAAGATTAATAACAATTTCTCTGCACAACAATTGCTTTGAACCTAAATATAATAGCTAAAATTAATATAAAATTAAAATTAAATTTAGAATTAAAATTTTGTTTTATATGTTAAATTTAATTATTCTCACCAATTAGGAAGCTTTTCGCTAAAACCCGTTGATGGATTCATATATATTTTAGTAATATCATGTGTGACATGGACCTATAGTAATTTTAAAAAATTAATATGCAAATAAAAAAAAAATCACAATGTAACATAAATAATCAAATATGATATTAAAATATTAAAATTATATTTATCACAATTGTAATTACATATATATTCAAAAAATTTTACCATGATACCACATGGCTATTGTAATACTCCGGAATTGAATAGTAATATAAGTCGGAAAGGATGTGATACCCCCGATATTGAATAGATGTTAAATAGATTGAATAGACTACTATATTAACAATATGTACATGTAATACCTCCGAAGTTGAATAGTGATATGAGTCAGGGATGATAAAATACCCCTGATGTTGAATAAGAGGTTAAATAGATTGAATAAACTACTCATGTCAACAATGTGCACATTTTTTTTTCGAAAGTTTTACTGAAAGAACTCTAAGTTAAACATATTTGTCTTAAAGTAATTTGAGGATGGGTGATCCTCTGGAAAATCTCTTAGAGGTGCGCGTGAGTGAGGGCATAAGCGCTCTGGAAGGACTCGTGTTGACCGTAGGGCCAGTCTACGACATCCCGACATGCGTAGTTTGTGAGCCGAAGTGGTGTCATAGCTATAGAGTAGTATTTCTTGGGAAAATAATCTCTAGTTTTTCACCATCGTTCATAGCAATTTTGGAACGTACTTAATTTCGCGCATTAGAAAACCACAACGAGATAAATACCAATCACCCATGTCAACAACCAATTCGAATATATCTACACAACAATTTAATATAATAAGATAAAATTTAATATTAGAAAACCATTGTATATGAATGTATGTATATCTAAACATACTAATAAGTTTATCTTCTCTATTTACATGGCACTATAACTTATTTAGAGGGACCATTGTGAAATTCTCGTGAAAATATGAATTTATCAAATATTGTATAAATTTATTTGTACATTTATTTGAGGCATAAAATATTCAATATGAAAACCATGAAAAAAATTAAATATTTATTTTTCTATTATGCATTTCTTAAATCTATTCATTTTTTTTTTTCTTTGCAAAAGGAATTAAGTTTTGAAAACCAATTTTGTTTTTCTGCTATTAATTTTTTTTCTTCTAAGTCATCTAATTGAATTTGAAATTTAGGATTTATGATTACATTTATCTCATTTTTTATTCCAGACATTGTTGGTGATGAAGGTGGTCAATTTATGGATTATGGAATATGAGTTCTATAATTAAATCGTAATGAATTTTCTAAATGAATTGACCTAGTTCTTTACGAAAAATGATTGCCTAGAGGTTTCATTTATTTTTAAGGAAGATATAAAAGATGAATAATTTGTTGAAGATATTTCTACGTAAGAATTAAACATAAGAAGGATTGAATAATTTATTTTTCTTCTTTATTTGTTGGATTTAAGTTAAATTTTGAATTTAATTGAGAGGTCATTAACCTAAAATTAATTATACATATTATTGCAAAGTTTTTACTTAATTTTTCAAATTCGTCTCATTTTTAAATAAATGTCTAATACTAATGGATCCGTTAAGTCCATCGAAAAATTTGGTGAACAACTATAATATATTAGACCATTGCAAGTATTAGTTTGAATCGTAACTATTAATGAAGTTTTGTAACAGTTTAATATTTTGTCTCTTAAAGTTAAATAAATATATTGGAATATCTACACTAGATGAACTAAAGGTTTTATAATCATTTGAATTAGCCCAAAATGTATATACCTATATCATTTACTTATATATTTTCGTAAAGACGTCGTGGATAATAAAGGACGTGTTTGATATTCTTCTTGAATTGATTGAATTTTTTCATGATTTTTTTTTATAAAAAAATGTTGTTTTACAATCGAATGAACATATTGAATATATTGTTTCTATATTTTGACTAAGAATTGTCTACTTTGAATAATTAATAAGAGCATGAATTTCGTAACTGTGAATAACGATCATAGTTTTACATTAGAGGAGTTGAAAAATATTTTTTTTTAAAAAAAAAAAAAAAATTATTAGCCATTTTATCTTGTATATCTTCTAATTAATTATGCTAGCATATATATAAAATAGCAATTCAACATATAAAGAAAGCAAACACTAACAAGTAAAGAATTACATACTTAAAAAATATTTGTGTATATTTACTATATTACTCTTATTTAATCTAAACATTTTAATAATACATCTGTTGGTATGCTAAAATAAAAAACTCAAATCTTAAATAAAAATATGCTCCTTATGTTCCAATTCTAAATACTCATTCCGTTCCATTTTTCATTTTCGTCCGTCCCAAAATAAGGGTATAACTAGGGATGTCAACGGGGCGGGTTTGGGACGGGTTCTGCAGGCCCCGAGACCCGCCCCGCTAGAAAATATTAGGCTCCGAGACACGCCCCGCTTTGCTTCCACCCGGCCCAGGACCCACCCCGCCCCGAACCCTCTGGGTTCGAGGCCAACCCGACAAACTCGTTTTTTTTTTTTAAATATATAATAATAAATATTTTTTTAACAATCGAATACTAAAACAAATAACATTAAAAACACAAAAAAATATCTAAAAACAATCAAATATTGATCCATAAAAATAAGATAAATAAATAAATAATATATTTTTATTATATAAATATACATATATTAGGTATAATAATTTTAAAAAATTATTTGGAGCAGACAACTAATTGAATTTTATATTTAAGATTATTTAAGTAAATAAATAATATATTTTTATTATATAAATGTACATATATATTAGTTATAATAATTTTAAAAAATATCTGGGTTCGGGTCCCGGTCCGGGTTGGAGCGGATTTTTAGTAAAACCCATAACCCGCCCCGAACCCGGCCGGGTTTAAAATTTTAAATCCACAACCCACCCCGAAACATATTATTTAGACCCGAACCCGCCCCATTAAGAGCGGGTCCGGGGCTAACCCGCCCCATTTGACATCCCTAGGTACAATGGCCTAATTTAGTAATTGTACTACCTACCTAACATAATAAATACCTTTCCAACTTACAATATATTACACAAATGTCACCACATTTATATTATACAATGCTAATAAGAATATTTTCGTCTTTTTTACTACAACTCAATATAATATTAATATAAAAAAATTTACGTGCAAAAAGTAAACATTACTCTTTATATGAGAAGAGGGAATATTATTTTTACCATTTTGTCCGTCTCACTCAAAAATACCATATTTACTATTTTAGCAAAAATAATCATACACTAATACCAAAAATATATCTTTAACTTTTATTATACTATTACACATATTATTACTTTATACAAAAAAATCAAATAGCAAAAGTATCCAAATATCTTACATTTTTCATGACATAATAAAATATTATTATGTTTTAATTACTGTAAAAACAAAAAAAAAATACGCTTGAATGAAATGAAGATAGAATTATATTAAACAGAATTAACCGGAGAAGATACATTTAGAGGTGAATATTCACATATATAATTTGGATTTTACCGAATTCAAATCAATTCTAAAATTCAAATTTTTAACAAAATATTAATTGAAACCGAACCAAATTATTCAAAGAAATTTTGAAAATCCAAAATCTAAAATTCAAAATGCAAACAAAACTAAAAATATATAATATATTCAATAATTCGATATCAGATTTAAAATAAATAAATAAATAATTTAGTAAACAAATAATATCAAACAAATAAAAAAAATAAAGGCATTGACAAAATTATCTAGGTGAGTTCATTTTTATACTTAGATAAATGTATTTTTTATGTTAAATATTAAAAAAAATTATGGGTAAAGCACATATAGACTATATTTTTAATATAATTCATCTAAAATTGTGTCATTAAAAATTAATGATTGAACAAACCTCTATTATAAATAGTTACAAATAAACACTCATTTCGTCCCAAAGCAATACATCTATGTTGCTATTTTCCTTCGTCACAAAACAATAATCTTGTTTATATTTTTAATAATTAGCTCCCCACGTTTTTACAAACTAGCCCACATTTTCACAATAATTACATAAAAATAAAAGCATTTGGATCTTTTTATATGCTCAATATTAATATAATACTATTATTTTTTAATTCTTGTACCCATATCTAATGTCTCTATTATTTTGGGACAAAGAAAATATTAAATACAAAAAATTTCAAATAAGAATTACAAAAAGTGCAATACACATTCTCATATGAATATTTCAATATATTCCCAAATTTGAATTTTCACTATACCAATCCATCCATAAATCTAAAATTAAAATTTTTTTTCAATCTGATCCGATCACTAAAAATTCAGACCAAATCTTCTGTCCATTAACACACTCTATCTGCCTATCTCAACACACACAATTTATATACATACACACGTGTGCATGTATATATATTATGTACGTGGGGATAGAGGGATAGAATTTATTTTGTGGGAGGCTAAAAACTTTAAATTTTGATTTGATTCATATCAAATTTTCTCCTACATATAATAAGATAGCTACACCATTAATAAAAGCACAAAACAAATCAAAAGAAAACATGAATGGCGGTGCAAAACAAGAATAGGATCTAATATGATCTAATCTACCTACTTGATAAACGATGATTTCACTTCATGCCACAGACAAAATAAGGAATCCAATGAATCATTATTGTCGGACAAGGATTCATTTACCTTAATCTTTGAAACAGAGACCACCGATTTCATCCACTCTTCATGCATCGTCGAGAACTTGTCCCTTTCCTCGCTCGACCTGAAGCTTTCTCCAACCATTTCCTTCATAACTCCCCTCGCTTTTCCCGCTGCTTCGATCACCGGCCTCGGAATCCCGGCCATCTGCGCTACCTGCATCCCGTAGCTCTCCGGGCTTGCTCCCGAGACTAGTTTGTAGAGAAAGACCAGGCGATGATGGTCTGATGTCGGGTCGAAACAACAGGCCATGTGTTGCAGCTTTACACGAGGATGGGAGGCGAACTCCTTTGTGAGAGGGTGGTAATGGGTCGCAAATAGTAGACGGCACTTCACTGACTCGATAAGATGACGAAATACCTGATGAACAAAGCAGTTAATGTTTTAACACATTAGCAGCAACATTTGGTCAGCTCCTGAAAGTTTAAACTTCACTCTCATCCACATCACAGATAACATTTAATCACATATCAATTACGACAAAGTAAATACCTCCTACATTTTTACAAAACTATCATCATTTTTTCACAATAATTACATAAATTAAGGGTATTTTGGTCTTTTAAAAATACTTTTACACCCACTGTCAATGTAATACTATTATTCCTCAGTTCTCTTGCCAATCCCAAATGTCCCTATTGTTTTGGGACGGAGGGAGTATATAAAAGAAGAAAAACATCAGGGAAATCTGATTATCTAAATTTTTTAATGTAACATGGCCACAGTGCCACAAATGAATCCTATACAAACGATTTTGATTTCAACGATGCCATGTCCAGTTTTGTGTTTCAATTCCAGAAGTTCATTTGGTTAACATTCACACCATTACATTAGTTTACTTATATTATAGAATTATAAGATAACTCATCTCACAACTTATGGCAGCAAGAACAAGAACAACTTATTTAGCATGCATAACGTTATATATTAAAATATGTAAACTACCAATATGAAACAACTAACTGTAAAAGCAAAGTTCTATCTTAAGTTTTTTTTAACATCTTTAGCATTTGTTATCACCGTCATCAGAAGCATGATACAACTTTCAGAAAGTTTATTTCCATATTTAAACATAGAAAAAAACATTCAGGAAAGCAAAAGACATCTTACAGCATATGCAATAGCATATCCATCAAAAGTGCTTGTTCCTCTGCCCAATTCATCAAGAAGAACAAGCGAATTCTCTGTAGCGTTCTGCAAAACTGATGCCGTCTCTGTGCACTCAATCAGAAAGGTGCCTACACGGACAAGGTCCATATAATAGTTTGTTATAATCATTTAGTCTACCTTACAGCAGTACAAATTTTATTTAATTGTTAAAAGAGTAGAAGATTTCATACGCCTTGAGACCACTGAATATTGATATTTTGTTAAACAGATAAATAAGAAGAAACAACATTAAGCCTCCGCAGATATGAAAAGGTGAACTTGGTGTAAAATGACCATATGAAAAAGTACCCACTGAATGAGATTGTAATAACTAATGACTGCAAGGAATGCTATAATAAATAGAACTGCATGATACTTCAAGCATATGTTACCTCGGAACCCAAATAAATCATGTTCGATTTGGGCGCTCTACGACTTTTCTATGAATGTCAGAGGCTGAGCCATAGTATTATCATAGCATTATTATATAGAACTTACACTGATAGCCGACTATTTATAAGCTTCATCATAAATCCCTCTTTTTCATTCTCATACAAGTTAATGGTTTGTGTTGGATACTAAGGAATGTACAGATAAAATGTTCCATTTACCTACCTACCAACTTCAGGAATAAACTAATGAAAATAGAACTAACACTACCAGCAGTTAAACGGTAATTTCATCATTTACGTCTACATTCTTCAAAAGCACCCTAAGTTGTTTCTCAAAGAAGTCCATCCAAACAACTTGATTTGGATAAGTGTAATTATTTTTATCATTTTTCTAAACAAACAAGAAAAACTTTTCAAAAGCAAATCAAAACAGTTAAATGTTATACACTTCCAAACTCAACTATATATCATTGCCAGCATACCACTTTATTTCTTTCTTATCTTCTTTATTAAACATTTTTTAGCTTCTAGTTTTGTTTTTGCAAAAAGATAAACTGTTCAAGATAAATACTCACTCTCGCCTGTCATGATTCGATCTGTTGCGCCTAGTCTAGTAAATATAGTGTCCGCCACTGATAGTGTGCACGATTCACAAGGCACAAAGCAGCCCAACTGCAATGAGTAATAAGTGTATTAACTGGGAGCAATTTATTTCAGAAACACAGAACAGTAAAGTGGTAATTATCAGTAAGTGAAGAAAAAAAATACCTGAGCAATTATGACTGCAAGACAAGTTGCACGTAACAGAGTAGATTTCCCACCCATATTTGGCCCAGTTAACAACAATGCGCCTGGATGTTCATTACTTCCATCTCCGCCAAGGTGAACATCATTTGGAACAGGCAATCCACCATTTTCTCCAAGTGCATAAGGATGCCATAGACCTTTCATAGACAGTATAGGGCACACAGCCTCCACAGAAGAATTTGTCGCTTTCGAGTGAGGCAGAACTGTAGGTCTACAAATTGCTCCAGATGCAGAAATTGCAGATATAGCAAAAGATCTCAGTACATCAATGCAACTAATGGCATATATCATTTGGGACCATTCAGCCCCCTTCTCCATAAACAATTCTATCAAAATAGATAATGTTTCAGCTTCTGAGTCTGTAACATTATGATTCTGTCATCACAAAGGAAAAAATAAATGTTATGAGTAGAGCAGACAGTTTATAAAACCAAGAGTGATAAATGGTTAAAGGAGTACAATTGAACACTAATACAAAAGTTAGACCATCAAACAGAACTAGTGAGATTTATTTAGAAATTGCTGAAAGATTAAAGGCGGAACATAATTTCAGTATACTACCAATACAGACAATCTATATAAAGCAAACAAAACTACATATAGTGTCATGGGACACAGGGACAAGGCTTTAATATAAAAAGTGAGGATCACAAGATCATAAGACTTAAAAAATTTTCTTATAGTTTTAGAAAAGGATCTCTGTTGATAAAGACCAATTCTAGGGGCATTCTGATCATCAATCAGTATTCGTGCATTACCAGAGACCTATATTTCATCTCTAATTCTTTAATAGCTGTAATTTGCATGAGAATCACATGTTTATCCAAGCCCTTTCCAAGAGGAATTCCTCACACGTCCTTGCTGCATGGTTAGAGGTAAAAATATGCTTACTATAATTCCACCATCAAGCCATGATTTCTCTACAGAAACCACAGTGAAATTTATTAATTAATTGTGTACAGAGATTCTAGGATGCCTTGACAGATTCTAACATGTCACTTAACGATAGATAAAAAAGAAACCCTTTCCTTTCCTTAGGGAAAGTTTAGAAAGGATCCCAGATCAATATAGTCAACAAAATAATATAATGAAACTAATTAAAATGTTATATATGTCCACACAATATCAAATCAGACCTGGTAATCCGGAAAGTCACTATCTATTGCTGCATCAACTTGAGCAAGGTATTTATCCAGCCCGTCATGTCCACTTAATGTTGGTAGGGTTACAGCTTTTGATAGTAATTTGGTAAAGAGTTCATCTGTTTGCAAGGTCCTCAACATCCCCATGCCAATTTGCAGTCCTTTCACAAGAGTCCCAAAAACTTTTACCTATATAGGATAAAAGTCAGGGAATGAAGCATATATAATTAGGAAGAGGAAAAATAAATAAATAATTAAACTAAAAACAAAATCTTGCAGCGCATCACACATTTTGCCAAAAAGATTATATGAAGCATCTACTCTGAATAAGTTGTATTAAATTCATAAGGGTGGTTATAGTTTAGTTATCAACTGCAGGAAGCAGCCTTGATGGATTTGGCAATCAGAAATGCACATTTTTAACTAAAAGCCAAGGGTGGATCACTGATATCTTCCTATTTTGAAACCATTCTTGTCTTTTTACAGGAATTTCAGGGAAAAACTGAACAGACGAAAAAAATCTTACCCGCTGTTTCAGTATCTTGCTGCCAATTAAAGGTAGCAATATTAAGGAAGAAGACTGAGAGCTGCACTTTACACGTCCAAGCAACCTGTCCAAATCTGGAAGCTTCCGAAGAGATTGAGCAATTTGTAGCACAATTTCTGAATTTTCCATTAACTTCTCAACCACATCCAGCCGCATGTTAATTTTTTCTACATCTTGAAGAGGATGGCACATCCAGTTCCTCAATAATCGCTTACCAAATGTTGTAATGCAATTATTAAGATACTTGTACAGAGTGCCTTAAACAATGTTGTGCACAATTAATCCAGAGAATAAAAGATAAAACAGTGAATGAAGGAGACACAAAAGTAAATTATGTTATTACCTGAAGCACCACCATCAGCATTATTATTAAATATCTCCAGATTTACCATCGTCTGACCATCCATTCTGAGGAAACCTCTATAGACTTCATACGAAAAAATATCTCCATTACGAATGACATCATTTAGCTGCAGAGAAAGAAGATACAATGCCTATAAGAAGAAACATCATTTTTATATTTATCTTCATACTCATTGCGAAGGTCTACTACCATCAGCCGCTTTAGATGACTGATAAGTCCACCCAGTGCACATAATGCAAGATTCCGGTGCATAATCCCATCGACTATGCGATTCCATTTATTAGACGAGCCATTAAAGTGTTTATCTTTCTCAATGGTACTTTCAACTTCCAAAGCTTCGCCAAAAGTATCACTTGGATTCAATAGAGACGGAGCCACTCCTAAGAAATAAAATGTCATCAACATCATTATCATCATAATATTAATTGCTGCACAATCTCTACCATGCAAATTTAATATGCATTATGGTTCAACGTCAACAAGGTCTGTAGTGCTGGAAATACTGCAACTGCAATACAATTTGATAAGATTGACCATAAGACATGAACTAAGCATGTAAAAGATATTATCCTTAAATTCAAATTCAATTTTTGACCGAAAAGAAAGAAATATCACGATGAATAAGTTCAGGGTCAATTATTTTAATGGGTAAGCTAGGAGACTCCCCAGGGAATGCTCAAATATAATAAAAAGATAATTTCTAATCACAAGAAAGTTTTAATGGGTAAGCTAGGAAACTCCCCAGGGAATGCTCAAATATAATAAAAAGATAATTTCTAATCACAAGAAAGCTCCAAAACAACATAAATATATCTTTAGATCACAATTAGCAAATTGACAAATAAATAGTGAATATAAAATATATGACAGGCAAGTTCTTATCACCACTCTAAAACAACAGCAAAAAATTCTTCTTAAAAAAATAACGAACTTGAATAGGATCATCAAAGATCTGCACTAACAATGAAATGATGCCCCCACATATATAGGCAATTGAATGCGTAATTTCGTAGTCACCTGTCAAATTATACTTTTTAAGTGTTCTTTGAGCTTCTTTGGACAGTCCTACAGTGAATATTGACATAATTCAAAATAGAAGTGGGAAAAAGCTTCAGTGATCATTCAAAAAAAATCCATGGTGCTCAATAATTATTTAGATAAAGAACACTTTTTACCTCGACTTTCATAAAGAATTTCCCTTGGCGACACCTAAGGATAATAGTTAAAGAATCATGCATCACAAGGCGAACATTCACAAGTGACTAGATGAACTATAAGAGGTAAAGGAGCATACTTGCACTAGCAAAGCTCCCAAAGCTGCACATGAAGCATCATCAGTGATAGAACCAACCCAGAACTTTAAAGCAGCACAATCCACAAATGCAAACCCAAAACGTGTTGAACCATTCCTCCCCAGGCTATCCTAAAAGCAAAATAAAGGAAAGAAAGCCAGAATAATCAAATATATTATCAAGCATAAATTCTTTTATAGTGTCTCACATCCTACACAACAATCCTGGCATTTTGAAGTCGAATGAAAATGGAAATTGGAAAGTCATATCAACCTCTTTTATCGCAAGAAGATGAATTGCATCAGGACCAATATTCCCGTCACATGATGTGGCAGGAGTGAGTACATGAGTCAACTTTCTTTGAATAACCTGAAAAAAAAAAAAAAAAAAGGGACTTTTTGAAGAAAATGACACATAACAAGTTATGAATGAGAAAACACCTCCATTTCACCATCTCAACATACAACAACCTAATCACCAAGAGAATCAAATCAATGAATGCTGCAACTCATCCCCAAGGTGAATCTCATTTGTTAGGTGCCATCTATTCCACACAGGAGGCATTCGAATCTTGAATGCATACAATGTTTTAATATACATATTATAGAAACTTTTATCTGCATGTGTCATCACAATGTACAAATAAGTTTTGGCTTTCTCAAATTCCTGACTTTTTCAAAACCATATGCTATTCATGCCTTTACACCCATAATAAATATTAAATATATTAATGAAATTACCAGTCAAAACAGCATTTAGTAGGTAAAAAGCAAAAACTCAATCAGGTGGTCAGAAACTTACAGATGTTGAACCCCGGGATTTTGCTTGCTGTGATGTCTCCAACTGTTCTATTCGACCAACTTTGTACCTTCCAAAAAAGAAACAAAGCATCAATGATATATGCGTAAAATTAAGGATAGAAAGATTAATTACCATCCAAATTACAAAGTATACTTTTTCTGCCTTATAATCATAAGTATTCATAAATTGGATTTAAAGGCTTTCACTTCCACATGAAAACACATCCACGTATTAATTAAGAAACCGTAACAAAAATCCTTCACACTTCTGTCACTCTTTCATCATTGTCTAGCAGAGAATCAAATTCATGATCCAGTCTCCCAAAACAGGTACAGAACTTGGTCTTTCACACTTACTAATCACCCAAGCTCACAGATATATATAATCCACCAGCATTGAAAAGATGTAGTAACACTACACCTTGAATTTTGAAAACCTGTTGTTATCCTATTGAGGATACAGCTTGATCCAATATTGAAGCAGGTATACAGTGAGCCTGAGATGTAACAGAGTAACAAACTACCATTCTTGATTATTAGATGTTGGTATTTATCCCTACTCTTTCTTTTCTCATTGCATTTGCCTCAAACATTATGTTCAAGATATGTTCTCTTGATTCTAGCATGAGTTGGTTTATTCCAAGTTGTATCAGAGCAGTCAATATTAGTAACTTGAACATCTATGTACAGTGAGAGTGAAACTGTAGGGTGATAGTCAAAGTGAAACCCTGGAGAAAATAAGGCAAATATTTGCATACTTGAACAACTTAAAGAGAAGAAGGGAATGTAGCAGATGACCCAATCTGGGTGTGAAATTCTCAGATCCAGTCGTCACAATCTATAGTAGGCCTTGTAAAAATACTAAATAATATTATTAACATTGAGTTAAGAGTCATTATCTCCATGCAACTGTTTTCTAGCTTGACATATTCTTGCAAATACTTCTTACATTCACATATACCTCGTAACTTTCTTGACAAAATATAATGAAGTGATATGAACAAAAAGAAGTATCACATTAAACAGAAAGCAATACTAACACCGTTTGAGTGTGAGATTTGTCAGACATCTCTTAAAGATGGCATTGCCACTGTCACTCATACTGTATAACCATTTTTGCAACAAAAAACATATGAAATATGAAAGTTTAAAGGTAATGCTAGTTACAAACCTCAACTTAGAATAAAAATAAAATAAAAACCAAAATAAAAATGAAAACATAATAATAATAGAGAGTGAGAGAGATTTTAAATTGATTTCACATGAGAGATCTATGAAACAAGTAGTCTAGGTTCATCAGAGTCAAGAATACTTCGTTATTGTCAATATCTTAAGCACTAACAGAAAGAAGAATGGGTTCATGAAACTCCCAGAAGTTGGGTTCCTTTTTTATTTTTTTATTTTTATTTTTTCCTTTTGCTGCTTTAATTTAGGCAGCACACATCCACCCTAACACTTCATGCCAATGCTTCTTTTACCAATGAAAATTTAAGTACAAAAGAATCTAAAGTATTATGATGATGCAAACTTGGTAAATTTCCTTACCCCCGAGCTACCAACTTCTGAACAGCATCATCAATTCCACTCTCAGACACACCAACCTACAGGTTAGTAATAAGTTAAAGAAGATCTTCATGAGCCATATTCGTAAAAATAGATATAAAATTTGCACACAGTCACAGGTTAATATCTAGAAACAAACACCCACACGCACATTAGTATAAGTAGAAACAGCACTGGCTTACCTGGCGGCACTTACCCACACCGCTTAGCGTTATTTTCCAATCAAGTTCCTTATGACCAATTTCAGCATCCATTTCATAAAGCTCATAGAATTTACCCTGTATTTCATAATGTGTTATCATTAGTGCATTAGTGTAATGGAAATGTAGACTGCAAAAGAAAACAAAATATTCAAATAAAAAAGAGAGCTGTTTCTTCTACAGTCTACAACACAAAATTGCAATTGCACCACCATACTCCATTTAGTACACATACTAATGAGTAACCATGTCCTAGTTTCACATATTGTTTATTGATTGCATTTCAAATAAATGCACAAGGCATGAAATATATTCCATTTATACACTCTTAATAGATATTAAAACATTAATAACCATGACGTCTTGTGATTAAATGTTTTGAAAGCCATTTTACAGGACCATACATGAATCATATATTTAAATACCATACAACAATTCATTATCACTCTATATTCTCAAGTTCATATAATAGTGTAGTTGCCAAATAATTTCGCATTTTTTTTGAGATCTTAAATTACTACATGAGAGAAGCTTCAGTAACGTTGTTGTTGATTGCCAATGGTTTTAGAAAGAAGTGAAAATAAATTAAAAAACAATAAACGAACCACTTTAAAGAACAGAACCACATCCAAGTATCGACACTTGACGTCCCAATACTGTCTTTGAGATGCTGACATCTTTTTCAAAGCATCAGGGGGGATGTAAAGTGTTTTCTTATCATAAAGAGGATCCCCTAGCTTTCTCCCATTGGCATCCTTGATTCGAGATGGATGAAGCCATTCAAACTTGCTATCAGTTTCAGATTTCTCATCATCATTTCTCTTTAAAACATCAGTAGCCTGCACAAGTTTCGTCCTCTTATTGTCGCCTAGTGAAGAACAATCAGCCCTCTCCTTAAAATTGCAAATATCCTCTTGAACTCTTTTCAATCTAGGAACAAATAGTTTCATCCCAGGAGTGTTTGGCCCAGGAGCATCATCCTCAAGAGTATTTAGCTTTGAACAAGTCTTATTCTCGTTGTCATTTATTATTTTGCCAACACAACAGAGATCTTGCTTGCTGTGTTGCTTGGGAGCAGCACATGAGTTGCCTAAATTTTCTGGTCTATCATGTTTTGGGGGCAGAAAATTGATGCTGGGAATATTTTCAACTTCCATCCTGCACAGGCACACCAAAAAAAGGATAGATTTTAATTTAGTATAAACTTCAGGATGCCATATAAAACTTCATCAGATGCATATCAAAGCCCCATAAAGAAAAGATATTTTGAACACGTACAAAGGCATATAACTTTAAACTAAAACTTTTAGCGCCTAACACCATTACTTTGGTGTTGGTTCCAGCTAACATGGCCATGGTTCTGGGATCAAACCTTATCAGCACAGTTCCAGTTTCTTACATGGATATTTTTACATTTTTATTCTCTTTATTTATTAATTATTTATAACTTATCTTTTTAAATCACATTATACAAAAGCAAAATTTATGTGAGAATGATCTATGATTATATTAATAATGCTTACCAAAATTGTTTAATTATAATAAAGATACATAGATAACACATAAATAATTTACATTTACATATAAAAATTTTATTATATTTTAGTATATAGTATACTGTGTGCAATGATTGTCTCCTGGAACAGGAATGGTGGAGTTCCATCCTATTTTGGAAGTAGAATTGCATCGTGATTGAAACTGTGGCCATCTATGCCTACAAATTGTTATTTTCCTGTTATTTATTTATTTATTTTTTTCAAGACGTTTAGTGTTCATCACCTACTAAACTTAATTGTTTTGCAGTAAATTGTGGAGATTTAGTCGTAGCACTGCAAAGTAACAACGTTATGGAATATGCTAAGCTTTGTAAAATAAAGCATATAGCATACACAGTAAACAAAAATTATTGAACTTAAGTTAACACTCGAACAGCCATCGGCTTCTTATTGTTCTACAATTATACCGAAAATAAAAAATAAATAACGCACCTGGCGTGGAATGAAGAACTTAAACTGCTATCGACTTTTGCGAACTTATGCTTAATACTGGAAAAGAGTGAAGACGGGCCATCAGAAAGGATCTGGCGCGGCACCTTCTCTGGCGGAGTATCTGTTCCTTTGATTTCTTCATCGGAAACATCGAGAATGGCGTTTTTCTCCCCGACAGGGTTGGGCTTTTTGAGGAAGGCCAGTATTGACTTCTGCCTCTGCATTTTGGTGGCGGAGGTAGCAGGAGAGGCGAGGCGGGGGCTGATGTAGGGCGGCTGGGCGGGCAGGGTTTACGACTGAATTGGCGCCAAAGGGAGAGTGCAAAGTATAAATATTGGACGAGGCGCTTTGGAATTTGTTTGCCCCATTATGTGAATATAGATACAGTGTTTGGTAAAGAATTTTTTTTAATAGTTTTTAATTTATATTTGGAAAGAGTTTTTTTTTATTTTAATTTTGTTTATTTTTTATTTATTTTTAAAAAATTATTTATTTATTTTATACATATAAATATATTTTTATTGCAATATTTATTAATTCTTTTTAATTTATTAAATTATAATTTTATTTTTGTAAATTTAAAATAATAATTATTATTAATAATTTACTATAAATTATTTTATTTGTAAAATATATAAATTTATTAAAATTAAATCAAATACAAAAGATAAATATTATTAATTTATTTATATATTTTTTATTATATAAATTTTACATTAAAATTAATAAACAATAATTAATATAACAAAAATATATATATACGAAAGATTTATTATTTTATATTTTACAAAATTTAAATAAAAATTCTTTTTTCTTAAATAAAAATATTTTTTTCAAATTTAAAATATAAGAATAAATACTTTATAATATTTTTATATATTTCAATAATTAATAAAAAAAATACTCTTAAATGTTAAATTAAAATAAATAAAGTTAAATATTTTAAAAATAAATATATAAATATCCTTAATTATCATTTTACGTATAAACAATTAATGTTAAACAGTTATCTCAACTAAAAATTATCGTCTCATTGCCAAAAGCACACTTAAAATATTTAGTTTAATTAATTCCCTAGCAAATTATCTCTTGTTTTGAAGTTAGGTAGTGTTATTAATAATAAATTATTATATTATTCTACTCCCTCCATCCCAATACAATAGTCTTATTTACCATTTTTGTCCGTCCCAAAATAATAGTCTTATTTCCATAAATAATCATATCACCGTAAAGTTATCCCTACTTTTTTATTTTTATTACACAATTTTTACACTAATACACTTATAAGGACAAAAAAGTTTTTTGTTCGTACTTTTTACCAACTACCAATATAATATCAATATTTTGTAAATTTCGTAACCCAACTCAATTAAGACTATATTTATGGAAAAAAATGGAGTATTATTTTTTATATAAATAATGTGATTAATATTTTAAAATATAAATTAAAATATATGTTTAAAATAAATTTAAAATATTTTGTTTAAATATTTTTAGTATTACATCAATAAAATATGTATAATATGAATATGAGATAATAACATTTTATACTCCCTCCTTTTTTTAACAAACTATCAATTTTTTCATTTTAGTCGGTCCATAACAAAATATTTATTTCTTTTTTTTTAGTAATGGTACTATCTACCTAACATTACAAATACTCTTACATCTTACAATATATTACACAAATGTCATTACCTTTATATCACACAATATTAATAAGGTTATTTTAGTTATTTCTACTTTATTCTTACTATCTCCCAATATAATACTACTATTTCTAAAATTTCGTGCAAAAAACAAACGGATACCTAATTATAGGACTGAAGGAGTATAATACAAATAAATAAATAAAATATATTTATATAATGGGTAAACTATTTTTTTATCCTTAATTTTTTTATTATTTTAGTCTCGTAACTGAGTCTGTCTTTTTCGCACATTTAATCCTCTGGCACCGGAGATGTCTGCACAATACTTGTGCAGTAGCATGTTGAAAGATAAGTAACATATGAATATTTTTTATTAATTCTATTATTTTTAAATTAAACATATAAAAATAATAAAAATTTAAAATATTTTAGTTTTCTTCTATTTTAAATTGTGTTTTATTTTTATTTTTAAATAAAACAATATAAAATTATCCACGTATCCGCCAGAGGCCCAGATACATGTCCTCCGCCATGCTACGCAAGCATTTCCGGCGCCGGAGGACAAAATTTTTTTACTTACGAAATTATTTTAAGATATTGTCAGTTATCGAACTAAAATGATAAAAAGTTCAGTTACGGAATGTGACACCCTGGCCCGTAAGCCATGCAAAGCGGGGTGTGTCGGGATTGTAAACTGGCTCCACAGGTCAACACGAGTCCTTCCAGCGCAATTCTGTCATCATACCCACGCGAGTTCTTTCAGTAGGGTTCCCGAAAATGAATGTCCACATTGTTGACATTAGTAGTTTATTCAATTCATTTAATTTATCTTCAACCTCTGATGGTCTGCCACCGCTCATCCACGGGAGTTGGCTTAGCACCGGCTCAACCTCGAGGGTATTACATGAACGTGTTAAGCTTGTTGGTTATAAATGAAAATTTATTCGAAAATAAAATATGAATAATGAGATTGTCAAATATAAACCAAAACTTGTGACCCAAGTTTTTTTACATAGATTTGAAATTAATTTAATGAAACTTACTATTCTCTAGTTGATGGAATAATATTTTAATATCTTGTTAGCTAGAAGTTTATAAAAATTTGAATATGCATCTTATGGATGTAATAATTGTTTTCTGAAAATTTTTGAAGAATTTGGTATGCTTAATGCATACAAATCAAAGATAAAAGAATATTATTTCATTAAATTATAATTTTTTTTTTTATGATCTCAAGCAATTTGGTCACTTATGTACAATTATCTCAGTGAATCATTGATAAAAGAATAAAAAGTTAATGATTATGTTTACCCATGTATTTTTTTTCTAAAAAAGAATGAAAATAAAATAAAATTGTGAGCATATATTTTTATGCGGATAATTTGAATTTAGTTAGATTTCGTAAAAGAGATCCAAAAAACTATTAAATACTTAAAAAATGTTTGAAATTAAGGATTTGCATAAAATGAAATTTGCCTTAGTTTTGCGAGTTGAACATTTGGAACTCTAATAATTATTAGAATTCTTGATCCTACCAATTATCTCTTTAGCGTTGTTTGGTTCATAGACTTCTTTTGTGGGATTAAAATTTCACAGTAGATTTATATGTGATGAGATTTATTATATTTATTTAGAATCATATCATATATTTGGTTGACAAAATTATGTGGGATTTATATTTGTTACATGTTATTTATTTTTCATATATGTGGAAAGATTTAGATTTTTCATATTTTTAAATGACATAATTGTCCTCCATAGATTTTATTTAATTTAATAAATTAAACCTCTAATTCATCATTAATATAAATTGAAAATATATCAATAATTTTATAGGGATGGCAATAGGTTCGCGTAAACTCGAGACTTCACCTATTTATTTGAAGTTGAGTCAAATTATTTGAGTATTAGGTCTGGGTCCAGGTCATGTTCGGGGTAATATATTAATAATATATTAACTATACATATGAAAAAATAATTTCTAACAATATAATTATATTAAAAATATTTTTTGAGTTTAACTTATTAATTATTTTATTATAATATTTTTTTAATAAAATACATAAATTTTAATATATTTTGTGCAATTTTAAATTAAAATCCAAGAATTGTAACAAGAAAAAGTTGATTTTTTGGATCAATTTGGTCTTACCGGGTATAGCTTCGGTCGGATCCAGTACAATCGGATCCAATTTGGGTCTCGGATTTAACAATATATATTCGGGACGAATATCAGTTCTGACTGAACCCGACTCATTGTCATTCCTATAATTTCATAATTCAAATAAAATTTACAATAAATAATATAATTTTAAACAATAAATTTATTTAATTTTTAAATATATAATTCAAATAATAATTAATTTTAAAATTATTTAGTTTTTATTTTAAATAAATATAATATTATTTTATTTTTATAAGAGGATATAAAATTAAAATTTAAAATTCCAATAATGAAATTTAAAAATAACAGGGGTACCAATTAAAAAAAAAACTCTCATTTGTAAGATTTTGAATCTTTTTTTAAATTCCATCATTTTAAATTTCATCAATTATTTTTTTAACTAAACATGAATTTCATGGGATTTTATAAATCCCACTAAATAACCAAACAGCCCCTTGGGGTGAAAGAAGAGAATTAAAAAAAAAAAAAAACCTACATGGTTTTGAAGTTAAATACTTAGTGTTATTCGTGCACTAACGTGTCTGGATAACTGTACAAGATCAGATATAACATTTTTTGTAAACTTATTAGAAAGATTTAGTGCAATACCAATATGAGAATATTTGAAAAATACATTTTTCGTTCTTTCTAAGAATTATTAATCTCTATCTATTATATTCAAAGAAATCTTGGCATGAATTGATTGAATAGGCATATGGGTGTGTTTGTTTGAGGGATTTTGCAATAATATTCACTATTCATCCAAAATTTCTTCCTCCAAAATCTCAAATTAAAAATCTATTTTTTATTTTCTATATTATTCTAAAAATTAATTTTACATTCAAAACATCACATCAATATTTATTTATATCATTTCATACAACTATTCTCATTCAAAATTTTTACTATTCAAATCTCAACTCAAAATCCAAACCTTCAAACAAACACGCCCGTATCTTTCTAACCCACAAAAATTCAAGTCTCAAACAAGCTATATATTTGCTTGTGGTGGTATTGTATTATTATGAAAATACACAAAACAAATAATAACCATCATATGTTTCATTCATGCTGAAATAATAACAATTCATGTGCTTAGTCGAGAATGTGTTTAGTTGAAATTAATGATTCATCACATTTTAAAAAACTGTAGCTTGAGATGTGAAAAAAAAAAAGAAAAATCGTTATACTATTTTATATGAAGACAATGCAGTTTATATAGTACAACTGAACTGAAGAAAAATATATTAAAGGAGATAGAACATAATATATTTCACAATTTTTTTTTGAACTTATGATTCTAAGAGAAATGGTAAATAGATGTATAACATATTTGATCGAATAAGAATTTAGTAGATCTATACACTAAAATTTTACTGACTCCAACGTTCGAGAAATTTTCTAAAAATATCATGATGCGTTGGATATGAGATTTCAAGTGAAGTCCATATCAGTAGAACAATTTATAGAAAGTGTGAATGACATATATATATATATTTTCTTTCATTATGATTTTTGCCCCATTGGATTCTTTTTAAGTAAGATTGTAAAGAGTAGTAATCATTGCAATTAGAAATACATAAAGGGAAGTGTTGTGATATTTTTAACAAAACTATTGGAGCGTATTATTCTACGAAGAGAAGTTTTACCTCAATTTTACGTGATTATCAAATTTATTTTGATAAATTATATTGATATTAAATTTATTTTTATAATTATATTCTTGCAATATAATGCTTTATTATATTACTAACATTTGAAACGAACACTTAGATTATGGTATCAAAAGTTCGACTAGTTATGGGGTAGCAAGGATACCATAAGACTATTTTCAATCATTATGTTTTCACAGATAGATTTAAAGATGATAGCTTTATCATATTGTTGCTTTATATTGATTTGATATTTTAACTATTGGTAAAATATGCTTCTAAAATTGACAAATTGAAGAAATAAATGAGCAAATCATTTTCTATGAAGGATCTAGACCAATAAAAAAGAGTTGCAATGATCTTAAGAATTGTAAATTAAAAAGGTACTTGAGAGATTCAATATAAGCAAAGGTAAAGTAAAATCTCGTCTTGCTACTCACCTTAAACTTACTGCTCATATAGTCCTCCAATCGATGAAGATAATGATTCAATGAGAAAAGTTTTTTAAACTTTTGTTGGAAGTTTGGTACATGTGATGAATACAACTTATGTAGTTCGTGTTGTCAATCGTTACATGTTAAATCCAAGAGAAGAACATTGGAATGTAGTGAAGTGGTTATTCAGATATCTATGTAGTATTTCAAGTTTAAGGTTTACATTCGGTGGAAGACAACCATTGTTAATCGGCTACAAGGTTTTAGACACGGTAGCTACCGTGGATAGTAGGAAATCTGCCTCAAGATAGCTGATAACCTTTGTTGGTGGTGTTGTGTCGTGGCAATCGAAGTTGCAAAAATATGTTTAATTTTATGACAACCGAAGCAGAATATATCATAATGATCGAAGGTTGTAAAGAGTTGTTGTGGTTGAAGAAATTTATGAAGAAACTTGGGCTCTGTTTAGACAGATAATTTTAGAAGTTTGAAGTTTTGAAAAAATTTAAATTTAAAATTTTTTGAATTGAAAAAAGTGGCATTTGAGTTGAAATATGTTAGATGGAAGTTTTGGAGATGTTTTAGATAGTTTTTTTTTTTTTTTCAGTTTACTATAATATTATATAATAAATAATATGATTGATGATGTGGAAATATAATATTGATTTAATATATTTTATAAAAAATTAATTAAATTTACTTTTATAAATATATTAATATAGACATAATCAATATTTATATCATTTCGTAAATAATAAAATTTTATATTAAAACAAATAAAAAATAAAAAATACTATTTTATTATTTTATAAAGGTAGATAATATTTGTGACAATTAAATCGGTATTTATTTGTGTAAATATTCTACAGAAAAATCAAAACATATTGACGTGCATTATCAAAACATATTCAACTTCTTCATGAATTTTATCTAATTCTATTTCAATCTTCCCTAAAACTCATTGCAACCATGGACGGATGTTGGTGGAGACTAAGCCCCCAAATTATTTTTTAGTTTAAAATAAATAAAATTTGTATAAATATATTATATTGCCCCCCAAAAATTTAAATTTATTATTTTGCCATTTTTAAAATTTAAATTTATTATATATTTTGTTATTATTTTTTAATTTAATTTATATTAATATAATAATTTTAATTATATTTTATTTATATAAAAATATAATTTTTTTATGCTAAATATAATTAGGTATCTGTTTGCATTATCTTCTGGCATCAACAGAAATAAAATAAAAAAAAAGATTGAAGTGGCATATAAAACAACCTGATCGATATGTTTTTATAAATTTTTAAAAATTTCATTAAAAAAAATTAAATCGTCTATTTGAATAAATTAAAAAAAAATCAACGAATTACGATTTAAAATATGTTAAAATCAAAATCGAACCATAAAAACTCAATACTTATTAGAAAACTCGCACCCTAACTTCGAAAGCTAGTTCAGTCCCTGATTGCAACCATGGATAGGAACATTTGTTTCTATGTGATGACTATCATGCGAACCTTATGAAAGGCTAATCTCGCAAAGCCTGCATATGTTCTAGTAATAAGTATCGAAAATCTTGTTTTTAAGGACCTCATCGTTACTCTGAAGCTTGTCGATATTATTACAAGAATATATATAATGTCCAAATTATGATAGTACCCTAACAGCTGCAATCCATCAACATAAACAACACAAATGTAGCTTTTAACGTTGGTTAGGACCAATCTCGTTGTAGTCGCGCAATCCATAAGGCTCAAATAAATCTGAGAAAAAACCTTTTTTCCTTCTTGGATTGCATCCGATGTCTTTACAGAGCTGATCATTGTACCAGATGTGAACCCCGCCAATGCACCCTCGTCTGAACTTACCATTTCCGGCGTATTTCTTCATGTACGCATCCCACTTTTTGAGGTCGTCTTCCATTTCTTTTATGCTCGGCAAACTGAAGGATTGGTCCAAGAAGAATCCCAGCCACTTACACCACATCTCGATTGTATAAAGGTTTGAGAGAGATTCCGAATAACCTATAACAGCTAGCTGTGGAATTCTCGGATGGATCATTTGTCTGCAACACCAAAGAGGAAAAAGAAATTTTCAGGACAAACTATTTTCTGATAAATTGTTCATATTATAGATGATTCACGTGCAAATAATTAAACTTCATGTGAAGGACGTAAGACGGAACAAAATCACATTTTGCTGTAAGCAAATGGTAGCTTTCGACAAGTTTTTATTTTGGATAAATTATATAACACCCCCTTGTATTTTAGTAAAAATGCACCAAAACACCATGTCTTTTATTTATTACATGAAACTCCCTTATGTTAACGTAAATTTGCACGAAACTTTATTTATTTATTTTATTCAAAAGATTATTTAAGATATTTTACATTTTTTATTTGTATAAAACTTGCGTAATTTTAGGTCTTTATTTAGCATTAAACATCAGTTTTGGATAATGAGGGTGTTTCGTGCAAATTTTACATTAATACAAAGGAGTTTCACGCAATAAATAAAACACGTGGTGTTTTGTGCATTTTTACTAAAACACAAGAAGGGTGTTATATAATTTACCCTTTTATTTTTAAAACAACAACATATATTGTGAGATGATGAAGAGAATATTTACCTGTAAAGAGGAACCGAAGATTTTGGAGATCCAAAAATGTAGTTTTGAAAGGTTGGAGACACGAAAATATTCTTGAGCTTCTCGTCACCTTTGTATCCGGTGGCAAAGATGACTACGTCGGCTTTTATAGGATTGACCTCTCCTTCGATCATCAAGCCTTCCTTGCAGAAGCTAAAGTGCTGAGATTTCCTAAACACAATGCTTCCATCCACCACTTTGTCGTAGAAGTTTTCGGGCAGAAAAAGTATCTGACAAGAAGAAGCTTCCCGGACAAAGCTCTCTTTAGGGATCATACCGTACTTTTTCAAGGGAAGCTTCCATCTAATGTGGCTTTCGACGAACTTTGAGATTGCCCATCTCTAGAAAATGTATAAAGATTAGCATCTATAAGTTGTCGATAATTTTGGTTGTGTTCTTCTATGGGTTTTATCGTAAGTTTTTACTATTTAGATTTTTTTTTTTTTCCCTCTAAAAAAAGGCAAAATTTCTCATATCTCCTTATGGTTTCGAAACTCAGCATAAATCTCCCGTTTACTTTAAAAATTGCATAGAACCCCTTACACTTTAAAAAACCTTGTATGAAACTCCTCTATGATTTCGAAACTCATTGTAAATCTCCAATTTACTTAAAAAATTGTATGATGCAACATTATTAAAAGTATAAGAGAGTATCATCCAAGTTTCAAAGTACAGGAAAATTTTAGGCAAAATTTCGAAACCACACGGGAGTTGTGAGCAATTTTACCCTAAAAATAGCGCATAAAACAATTACTCTTTTTTTTTTTTTATATTACAAATTTATTTTACATTCAAAACATCACGTCAACCTCTATTTATATCACATCAAACAACTATTCAAACTCAACTTTTTACATTCAAAAATCCAAACACGAAAACTAAAACCTACAAACAAACGCACTGACTATAGGAAAAATTAAAAGACTAACGACTCGTACCAAAGGTGAAAGCAATGTGGCCAAGGCACTCGAGAAGAAACCTTCCCCCGGCTTATGAACCAGCAGCTCGGAAAATCGGGTAAAGAATAAATAGCCAAAATTGACTCCCCATGGCATCGCATCGGGCGACGTCCAATGAGTAGTCCTCTGGATTACGGAGCACGGATTAGAACTCCCTGTTGAACTTTTAAATAAATCAATAACATTGTCATCGTTGGCAAGATCCTAAGAGACATTTCAGTCAAACTGTTGAAATATTTTACATATTCAGTAGATTTATATTTAAAATTAGATTATTTAGATTTGAGTCTATCGAGTCCGTTTTATATTATCTGTATACAGACCACTTTATATTTTTGATGATCAATAAATTTTTTTTATTATTTTCTTCTAAAATTTCTAACATCAACAAAAAAGTTATATACCGTTGGCGCTTGCGCACTCAAACGCAATGTCGATAGCTGACTTTCCTGAGCCAACAATTGCGATCCGTTTCCCTTTGATGAACTCGGCGGCGGCTGCATTGTCCATGGCAGAGTAATCCATGGAATGCAGCACTTTTCCGGCGAAGACTTCCGGTCCATTTCCTGGAGGGAATACGGGAATGGACGGCAGACCGCTGAATCTTCCGATGCATAGGACCACAAACTCAGCAGCATATTCCTGCCAAAAAAAAAATTGATAACTTCAATGGAATGATGAATATAATTAATATTGTTATGATTCCGGTTGAAAATTATATCTACAAATTTATTTTGTTTGCAATTGTTGTTGTTTTTTATTTTTTTTTATTTTTTCTTATTTTATAAAAAATATACTCTCTCCCTCTCGTATTCTTTTGAAGCTTTTATAGTAGACTAAAAATAAAAATATTTTATTAATTTTAAATAGAAAATGAATAATATGAAGTGAGACAAAAGAAAATAATAAAAATGACCGGGAATAAATTATACAAATATAAAGATATTTTCAATATTAAGTACCGTGATACAAAAGACATATTACCCTTTTTATGGGACGAATGTAGTACTTTGAATTGGGACGGGAAAGTACATTGTTTACAAACTTTAACTCATTTGACATTATTCGTAAATCTATTTTTTCTCCCCACAAAACATTGTATCAAATACTAACATTTTAATTTTTTTTTAAAGCAATGACACAGGTAAAAATGTCCCAAAAGGTAAAACCACTGCAATCCTACTCACAAAATTTTCGATAAGAACAAAGGCAATTGAATCAGAAAGGATCTGTTGTTTAATTTGAAGATATCGATACTACATCAAATTACCTTGACAGAGTGGTCGTCGATGTGAAGAACTTTGAGATTCCAGTTTCCCTCGGAGGCAAAAGCTTGTCCAGATCCACCCCAGAGGTGCCAGCTGGCCATCTCCTCCTGCGACACGCCGACATAGTCGAGGCTGAGAAGCCTGCAATTGAAATTGATGTAGGGGAGAAGGTGGAAATGGCGGGCGTAGGACTGGAGGTAGTGGAGGAGCTGAGCGTTGGTGGGGAAGACGTCGCGGACGGACTCCGGCCATGGGAAATCGGAGAACTGGAAGAAGTCCTTGGAGTTCTGGAGCCTGGTGGACTCGATGGTGTGGTTCCAGAGGCCGCCGGCGTGCGGCTGCTCCTCGAACACGACCGGAGTCAGGCCGACGGAGGCTGCGTATTTGCAGGCGAGGAGGCCGCTGATCCCTGCACCAACAATGGCTACCCTCTTTGGCTCCATGGAATTAAGGGAAGGGAAGGGAAGGGAGCTATTGTAGTAGTATTATTCTATTCTAACTCAAAAGTGAGTCAGTCTTTTCTTTTGTCTTTTCTACTAACTTGAATATGGAGTATAAATTTGTTACTTTAATCAGTTTTTTATAGTAAGGGTGTGTTTGTTTTTAGCATTTGGATTTTGAATTGGAATTTAAATAGTAAAAATTTTAAATATAAATAGTTGTATGATGTGATATAAATAGACGTTGACATGATGTTTTGAATATAATCGGAAAAGCCTGCCAGAATCAATTTGTTCGAAAGGGTTCCCGGCCTCCACAAAAAAGAGATTCGGGCTATCTCGCTTGAACGAATAATTAAAGTAAAAAAAAAAAAATGCAAACTAAGGCTGATAAGCAAAAAAGAAAGCTGAAAATTAAATTGGAATTCAACGGTAGAAAACTGTAAAAATTCATAAACAAATTTGTGTTTGTTTGGGAGACTTTCCCAAACTTCCACTGTTCATCAAAATTTTCCCTCCCAAAAATATTAAATAAAACATCTATTTTTTATATTATACTAAAAATCAATTTTACATTCAAAACATCACATCAACACCTATTTATATCACATCATACAACTATTCAAATTTAAATATTTCACTATTCAACTCCCAATCAAAATCCAAACCTCCAAACAAACACATCTAAGAAGATGAATTGATGTGAATAGGGCGTATTCTTTTGTGTGTTCTCTTGTTGTTATTTTTGGATTATTTGGATAAAATAATCTCTTCTCACCAATTACAGGGCCCTTCCTGATCGCTTGCATTCGGCTGGGCCTTCCTCGACTTGTGGCCAGACGTGAAATGGGCCCGCAATTGGTTTGGGCTGGCCGAAGATGTATTGGGCTGGTCCTACTTAATTTTGGATGTTACAGATGCCCCCCACAAAGTTTGTCTGGACATAACTTAATTTGTAGTCCGGATAATTTTGTTCAAATTGACTGTTTCGCGCGGATATCATATCACATCGTTGTCACTGCCCGTCACTTACCTGCCCTCGAGTCTTCTCACTGCCGTTTCAGATAACTCCAGGTAATCGATTTTCTTCCCTTGGCGATCAGAAAACCCTTACTTCCTTTTCATCCAAAAAATCGTCCACCGTCATTTCTTCTCATTTCTTTTCGCCAGTGACATCAGGTGTCTAAACCTCTGGGCTGAAACACGACGGCCTCGGCGTCCAAACTCCGGTGATGATTTAGCATTCTACAGCGACTATTTCGGTGGTTCTTGACGGTTCACGGCCTCGGCTTCCAAACTTCAATGGTGATTTAGCATTCTGCGGCGACTATTTCGGTGGTTCTTGACGATTCACGGCGGCAGTTTGCGTTTCCTAGCGGTTCAAGACAGCGGCTCGACGATTTGTCCACCATGGGAGGGGGGTTCCAATGTTGAGAACTAAACCGGGGACCCAAACCGGCCATATTCCCGCGGCGTTCTCAGGGGATGCGACTTCGATGTCCGGTGGCGGTCGGCGGGTGCTTGCGCCGTTCGTAAAGGATGATGGAGATGTGGCCGAGGTTCCCACGACGTCCTTGGAGGGGGTAAACTCTTGTTGGTTCAACCCTAGTTTAATCTTACTAGTTTTTCTTCTCGTATATTCCGTCTACCTAGCGATACTTTAGAATTTACATCGTGGATGGATAGGCTAGGCCCTTCCTTTGACGCACGGTGGCGGTTCTGGGGGATTAGAGATATGTTGTTGTTGTGTGCTGGTTCTCTCCCCCGTGATACTCCTATGACTAGAGTGTTACTATGTTTTTGGAGCTCTAACATCAATGCCTTCGTATTCCCTTTCGGGATTTTGACTCCCACTGTGTTAGATGTAGTGGCCATTCTAGGGTTGCCTTCGAAAGGAGTAGAACCTCCTTTGTCTTCATCTTGCAAGCCCAATCGTCTACCCATTCCTGTAACTTATGACAGTAATACTACCGTAGGTCAGTTCCTTGCCTCGAATAAGCTTTCTGGTGTTGTCAAACCTTCTGAGAACAATGCATTTCTTATGTATCTGTTTAGCAAGTATTTCGCATGTTGCACATCGAAGGGACTAATCCGAGAGGCCGAACCGGTATTGAACGCCATTGTCTCCGGTGCTGAACTAAATTTAGCTTCATATTTCTTAGGTTTACTGTACCGTAGTATCTATGATTTTTTAGAAAAGCTCTCTGTTTCGACTTACCGTAAGCCGGTAGGGTCCGGCCCCTTGTGGTTCCTTGAGCTGTGGGTGCGGCTATATTTTCCTGATTTCATCACTCCACATTCTAGCCTCCCGTTTGATCAATCCGTTGTATTAGGCCCACATCTCGCGTCGTACCCTTCTTTCAAGGGTAATCTCTATTCCATAATCTATTCTCTCGTACACGAGGCTGATCAATCTCCAGGTGATTTATGTCCTCTGGCTAGCCACCCCGTAGTTTCTAGTGCTGACGCCCCTGCAAGCACCGCTACCCTTTGTATGGTATACTGAAACAAATGTTTAACCGCCCGGGTCTTGATTGGAGGGTTGGCCGTGGGTTCCCGGTATAATCCCTTATTTGAGAAATTTTACCAACCTCAGTATTGTGCCCGTCAGTTCGGGTTGGCTCAGGGGATCCCCATGTATGGTATTCTTTTGCAGCCCCCTCTTAGTCCGAGACAGACCTTGGGGTCGGCCAGCGTTGATGCCTGGTGTATTTACATTTGTGAATTGGAAGGTCTTTCGCATTCACCTTATCCACTCGACTCGAGCACCTTACTTTCATTTGATCGATGGTGGGTGGCCTTCCTTACCCACGTAAACTTGACCACTTTGCGGCTGGGCTTGGTTAAAATAGTAGACGAGCGTTCGAGTGATGAAGTTTCGCCCGACACTGTACTACAGGTGATCTTTCTTATTTGCAGTACGGTTTGGTAGTGCATATTCATATAATCAATTTCCATTGTACAATGGATGTGCCTTCTATGTTGGGTGCACGTCGTATATCCATTTCAACAATTCGGCGCTCCCGAAGACTGATTTCGCGGCCCGCCGTGCCCAAGTCACGACCCAAACGGCCTGTCAAGTGGCTAGCTCCGTCACCGCCCTCACTTCAGGTAACTTTTGGACAAGTTTACTTTTATAACATGGGTTCTTATTTCCTTCACGATCGTGCAGACTCATCTAGAAAAAGGCTACCCCTTTATCTGTTGTTGTCCCTATAGTGGAACCGACTTTGTCATCACCTCTTTTTTCAGGTATGTTTTCCTCCTCGAATCTAACCTCTAGTGATATGTCATATATTATGATGTTCGCTATCATGCAAATAATTCAGACGGAAGCCGTCCCTGAACCTACTGTCGGGTCCGCGGAACGATCCGTTTCCACACTATATTCTTTCCAGGTATTAGCCGGTATACATTGTTGGCTTACTTCTGTGACTAGCTCTGATTGATGTAATCGTGCAGGTTTCTTGTGACGAGCTCACTCCAGAGACGGCAGTCGAGTTGGCACAAACTCATTCCCTTGCTCTAGCCGGACCTGGTAGTATGAGGATGTCCACATCTTGGGTTGTCCCTCCTGTTCCAGTGGCGATCCTTGCTGACGTGGAGGCATATTTTGCTCAGGATCCTACCGGGAACCCATTTTTCCTCAGGTTTTCGGTGGGTTGGACCGGGATCCCTTTGCCGCTTATCAATCCTCTTTACTGGAGAATTCGGGGGTTCTTGATTCCTTGCAGACATCTGTTCCAGCTATAGCTGCATCCATACCTCTAGATTCGGGCCGCAAAAGACAGCTAAAGGATTTCGCTGATCACTTAAGTGAAGCCTCCGGACGCCTGAAAATGTTGCAGGGCATTCGCAACGTGAACTACAGCAAGCTCAAAGAGCTGACGGCCCTAGAGGCGGAGAAAAAAACTTGTACCTAGAGCTTCTTAGATGAGAAACAGCAAATTGAGGACAATTCGACATATATAAAAGGTCTGCGTGCTGAAGAAGCGGCTCTATGGGCTGAATTGAGCCAAATTCAAGAACAATTAAAGGAAATTCCACCAGAATTGGATCGGGTGATGGCCAGCCTTGCCTCCAAGACCTTCCGGAGACTGGAGTTATATGATCGGGCACGGGCCTTGTATGAGCCGTTGTCGGGGTCCCGTGGACAAAAACTTGTCTTCATGAAGAATTTTCAGCAAGCCGAGAGAGGGTTAGAGGATTTGCGCCTGGCTTGGCCTGATATGGTAGCCCAGTGGACCTCTTCGCGTCTTGAACAACCAAAACCAACTGACCTATGCTTTCCGATGTCGGTTACCACCATTATGGAACCAGGCACCGCGGATACGGTGTCCATGTCGTCGTCCGAGGAAGATCCTATTGCCGATGTCGGACTTTTGGATATCAATATTAGCCGTGATGCCGGCTTGGATGACCCTTATGCCAACTAATATCTTCTCCCGTTGTAGAGTGCCCTCCGTGTGACTTGTTCTGACTTGCTTTTGTCCCTTTTTGTGTTAATCCGAAAGTACATAGGTGGATTACTCGTAGGAATACTAGCCAGCGTGACATCTATTTTGTTTTGATGGTTTGATATGCATTTGTCCTCTTTTGTTTAATTGCTCTTTACGCCTTGATCATCCCCGAAATCTTTATGGCTTCAAAGCTTCTGGTTAAGCAGACTCATTTCTCTCCAGTTCCTACAGAGAGGGATAAATTTTTTTCAAATGTTTCCCATTAACAAATGTTTTCAATTCTCCCCCCTTAGGCTCCATCAATCTATACGTGCTGTTAGAAGACTTGCCCGATATGGTAAACAGCCCTTCCCATGTGGGGGACCACTTCCCAAGCTTCACATCTTTGGGACCTTCCGGAATGAAGGCCTTCCAGACCATGTCACCTTCCTAGAAGGTGTGGAACCTTACGCGGCTTTGAAAGGTCGATTCAGCTTTCTTCTTATGATACCGAGTTTGTTCGAGCATCTTCAATCGCTCATCGGGTAAAGCATCAAGCTCCTAGAGTAAGGCATGATCATGTTCTTCCATTGCCAACTCATTTACCATCAAGATTCAAAGTGACGGTACCGTAATCTTCAATGGAAAC